ACCGCTTTGGCTTCTGCATACATCAATGTGTTTTGTGTTATTGTTACGAGTATAGATTTCATCATTGATGTGTCACTTCGCAACCAATTGCATTGATTTAGCAGTATCTATGTACGTAGTAAAATCGTGTCCAACCCTTCTTACATTTGTATGGCACTCACTATTCCAATGTCCATAGCCCGCATCGTTCCAGGTGGAGCTTACCATGCGTGCATTTTTCCCGAGCACCACGCAACGAGCGATCTGCGAAATTCGGGACCATAGTGGTTCATTCGGGTTCACTGCATTGGGTAAAACAGCCGTTGCACTGAACCAGATTGTGCAAAGGCACGCGCTTGAGGAGGGTATTCACTACCAGCTCGTTCATGTATTTGTATGGCTTACGGGAATCTACATATCGAACCGCCAAGTTCTGACGTCACCAAGGTCCGTTAACAATGCCAAGTGTCTCGTCACTAAACCAATCTCCTTATGATCCCATACTTTATATTTTCTCCGTCCTGCATTGTTTATATGTGTTCACTATTGACTTGCTTTACAATTTTATCTTCATTTACGTAATGTATATATTTCTACTCGTTGTTGTGACCTTCAGATCCCAAGTCCTTGAAATCACGGACGATGATGCAATTGCTCGCATTGCGCCGAACTTGAGCAACACTGCACCTGTTTGTGAGGATTGGGGCGAAGTTGCTTCGTAAGTTATTATTTTCAGATATCCTTAGCACTGTGCGGTCATTTATTGAAGCTGAACACCATGCACATTTTCGTTGCAGGCTTGCCGGCGTGGAAGATCACGCTTGTGCAAGGCGGAACGAAAATGTGGCCATTACACGCGGCACGATCACCGGATTTGTTGTCAATGCAGGACAACGCTGTATTCATGATGACACTGTTGAAGGGGGGGGTGTTTGCGGTCGCAATGCTCGCTACTTTTACACCAGCGAACGATGGAAGTGCTGCGCGGGACACGAGGAGATGGATGCCAAGTGTTTCACTGAGATTGGAGTCACATTCGACAATCAGGAAGGTTAGTAGTTAATGCCTAAATTATTGTACATGATACTCATAATTATCACGTTCTTCAGCTAAATATACGACACACATCTTACCTCTACACATACGTGCGCTCTTTTTCCAGTGCGTGACAAAAAAATCGGGATTCGCAAGGGCGTACTGGCAAAGATCGAATTGGAGGCGATCAAGCAAGTTATTCCGAATGCTTGTACCATTGAGTTCAGCATGGCAGACAACGAACAGAAACACGAAATGCTGACTGGTCTTATTGGAAGATGGCTCATCCAAGTAAGGAATATAACAACACAACAGCATGTTGTTATTCATACCAACAAATTCGTCATTTGTGTTTTGTACAAATTTTTTAGTCACGTTTGACTTCTCTCTTGGCTTGTCTTATCCATATTATGCTCACAGGTGAAAGTATGTGGCATCTGGGATGGGGTCACAAGGTCGATAATTTCACTCAATCGCCCCTTTCATACTGTGAGTATAATCACCATGTCGCTTTTGTATATTTACATACCGTGTATTGTTTTTCGTTTGAACTAAACTTTACCATCGACATCCTGTCTTGCTATACTGGATAATGCTTAGGACATCCCATCAACAAATGACAATAACAAGCGGATTGGTACCAACACTGATGCCGTACATCCGACAACTCCTGCGAAGGTTCACCGTCGTCTCTAAGAGTAAGTCATCGATACATATAATTTGTCCACTGAAATCTTCATATTATTATATTATACACATTTTTTCTACTATTTTCCATCCCTTTCAGGTGGATGGTCGTCCACTTACTCGGACAACTTGAATGAAATTGATACAATGAGTAGCAGCGAAACGTGACAGGGGAAACGGAAGGGGAGGGGGATGATTGGGGAGGAATGGAATGGGTGGGGTGGTGGGGAAGGTGAGTGCAGGGTCTAAGACTTGGGCAAGGTAGCATCTTAAGATAATGGGTCATATGTTTTCCATTTTTTTATAACCATACTTTTGTGTTAACCTATTTCTTTCCATATGTATCCCTGTAATGTACTATCACGTTGATCTATCATTCGGTCAACAGTGTACCACGTGGTATGCCTGTGTTTTCTACGTACCGCATTGCCACATCATGCACATAAAGCATTGATGCATTTGCTTCGTTGCACTCACTACTGTTCCGAATTTTTTGTTGTCAATTGTGTTTACCGTCTCTTGTGCATATGTTCTATGGTGTATTGTATTGTTACGTCATGCACATACCTGGTTGTATTGTATTGTCCCCGTGGAAACGATGCCAACTATGCCTAGTGCAATGTACAATCTGCGATTGTCGTTGCCGGTCTGGGAACTCGCTTCCCATAACGTGCATGTCAGTCTCTATTGTAGCACGAAAGCATTGACGCGTTCGTTTTCCTACCCGTAATATTGTACTATGTAATGTGCTCAATGGCATGCGTTATTAAGAGAGTGCATCTTGTTGTGGGTGCAGTGAGACGACGCAGCGTATGCCTAGTGCACAGTACAAATTGCGATTATCGTTGCCAGTTTGGGATATTCTTTCCCTAACGCGCATGTCAACACAAAAGCATTGATGCGTTTGCTACGTTGCATTCACTACTGTTCCGTATTTTTTGTTGTCAATGATGTTTGCCGTGTCTTGTGCATATATTTTACATGTATTGTATTGTTACGTCATGCAAATACCTAGTTGTATTGTATTGTACCCGTGGAAACAATGCTGACTATGCCTAGTGCGGTATACAATTTACGATTGTCGTTGCCGGTCTGGGGACTCGCTTCCCATAACGTGCATGTCAGTCTCTATTGTAGCACGAAAGCATTGACGCATTCGTTTTCCTACCCGTAATATTTTGCTATGTAATGTGCTCGATGGCATGCGTTATTAAGAGAGTGCATATTGTTGTGGGTGCAGTGAGACGACGCAGCGTATGCCTAGTGCACAGTACAAATTGCGATTGTCGTTGCCAGTTTGGGATATTCTTCCCATAACGCGCATGTCAACACAAAAGCATTGATGCGTTTGCTACGTTGTATTCACTACTGTTCCGTATTTTTTGTTGTCAATGATGTTTGCCGTATCTTGTGCATATGTTTTACATGTATTGTATTGTTACGTCGTGCACATACCTAGTTGTATTGTATTGTCCCCATGGAAACAATGCCGACTATGCCTAGTGCGGTATACAATTTGCGATTGTCGTTGCCGGTCTGGGGACTCGCTTCCCATAACGTGCATGTCAGTCTCTATTGTAGCACGAAAGCATTAACGCATTCGTTTTCCTACCCGTAATATTTTGCTATGTAATGTGTTCGATGGCATGCGTTATTAAGAGAGTGCATATTGTTGTGGGTGCAGTGAGACGACGCAGCGTATGCCTAGTGCACAGTACAAATTGCGATTGTCGTTGCCAGTTTGGGATATTCTTCCCATAACGCGCATATCAACACAAAAGCATTGATGCGTTTGCTACGTTGCATTCACTACTGTTTCGTAATATTTGTTTGCCATAATGTATTCTGTGCTGTTGTAATGTAGTATCTCTATCATTCTCCGCCGTAATTATCGACGGTGAATGATTTGAGACTCTCATCATTCATAGGTAGCTTAGATAGTTGTCCCAAATCTCTATGCTATTCTTATATTTTTATGTCGGTATGAGTATCGCCGACATATCAAATAAAATAGCATGGATTTTTGTCTTGCACGATAAAATGGTTAGCTAAGTCTAACAATAGTAGTATAATAATAATAATGGATAGAAAATTAGAAGAATAGAAGAAAAAAAAATGACAATAGTAATAGGAACAATAGTAGTAGTAGTAATAATAATAATAATAATAATAATAATAATAAGACAAAGAGATCAAACATAACAAATACATACACTTGAAACTACAAACAACAATAATAACGGGAATACGTATGTGGCAATAAATAATACTAATACTAATAATAAAAAAAATATAAAAGACTCTTGTAATAAAAAGACTCTTGTAATAATAATATAATAATATAATATAATATAATACAAATCTTTAGAGTAAAGGATGCATTAGACCCTAAAAAATGATATGGGTTATTATCTCGGTAAGATTTAGAAAAAACAAACAAACAAACAAAATGATATGAGTTATTATCTCGATAAATTTTAGATACCAAAAATGATATGGGTTATTATGTTGATAAGATTTAGAATAGAATAATATGTAATGCAATATCTGTCCACCACAATCGGTCCACCGACCGATTATAAAGGGTTGCTACGCAACCCAAAAAATAGGAAGCACTGCTACATAACAGGCTACTACTGAAACTTGTGTGGCCAGGCGAATGAGAAAGACGAATTTGATGCTGACTTACAAGGTCTTCTCTGCTGTGATGACGCGTTCCTGCGTCGTGTTATCCGCGGAGGTCAGACGCAGGAAGACACTGGAGTGGTGGGAGGTTTTCCAGTGTCGACGACTTTTGTCGGTGAAGAAAACTAAAAAATCACGGTTAGCAGGTTGGCCAAGCGCCCATGTGGTTGTCGCCGAGGAGCACTAAAGACGAAACGCCTAACCCAAAGTGTACTGTAGGCAATCATGCAGGTCCATACACGAAATGCATGGGCAGCAAGAAATGGCAAAAATGGGGTGAACAAATACCGCCTACGTACTGAAATTCAACGCAAAACAGCATTTGCCACAAATCTGGGCAGGCTCGATTTCATGAGGTTGTGGGGTCGCATCTTTGGTTCAGCGACGTTTAGCCCTCGGAAATTGTCACACATCCGTTTTAAGGGAAGACTCTCAGTCAGATCGAAAGACACGCAGTTGGACTACGAAGACACCAGGTTTGCCCCTGAGCCGGAAAATACCCGCGGATAACACGACACAGGGACGGGTCCCTGCGTAATTCATTTGGTAAATTTCTCCCTCATCCGTCCCACTCCCGTGTTCTCCACGCCCATCCCAACCAATACAGTAATAGAGTTGACTGCGCGAGGAGAGTCATGTCACCTCGGCTCGGAAATCCCGAGTCGGGGGATCAGTGGGGGACAGGCCGGCCAAACTACCGACCTTCCTGGTACTGTAGCCTCTCGTTTCTTTGCTGGGATGACGCCAAGCGAGCGACCTGTCTCGTTCGGGCGGGAAGGCCAGAATTTGTCGTAATACTTGTCGAAAAAACCACCTCTTTCTTTCTTTTTTCGCCACAGCGCGTTTTCGTCGTCTAAGCGCAGAATCCGCTGCCAGCTTTCCTCGATATCTCCCAGGGAATCCCTGGAGGCCGGCCAGCACATCGGGAAACACCTCTCCGTTGTCAGAATTATCAACAGTCCGAGTGGGACGTCATGGTGGAGCTTGCGCTGAAAGACTCGACGTTCTGACCCTGAGTCTTGGCTTCGCCCGCTTCTCTCAGGCCCGTCTTTCGACGTGCCGGCCACCGTCGTATGAGGAGGTCCGATTCCGACTACTAGTATTTCATCATAAAATCAGCTCGATACCTTACGCCGAGCTGAGGTCAGCGCCGAGTCGAGAGCGACTACCGTACTCCCGCGACACCTAACGCGACGTCACGGTCAGGGCGAAGCCGGCTAGTCCTCGTCTCTTTTGAAGAACCGCCTCGACCCGAGGGAAGGCGGCGTCTACCCGTAACCGTTGGACGGTCACCGTAACAGTTACTCCCCTTGTAACAGGCAGGAGCGTCGCATGGCGTCGCACGGCGTCCGTGTTCGTCTTCGTGTTCTCGCGCTCGTCGCAGCACTCGCATCATGCTGCTCCAACGTGGGCCTGAGGAGGTCTCTCGCACAGCCCATTGCGAAATCGCAAGGTGAATTGAAGCGGCGGTGGGAAACCAAGAGCTCCTGTTGCTGCTTCCCTTGCTTCGCCTCGCTCTCCCGTGCGCTTGTCACCTGTCTGTGTCGTGTCGTGCTGCAGCGTTGCCTGCACGGGCGGCCGTTGCCGCTGATTCCTGCACTTATAGCTGTCACTCTGCGCGTTCTGCGCGTGCTGCTCGTGGGTGTTGCCGTGTTGCCGGGCGGCAGGTGCGGTGCTGCAGGACTTGCAGCCAGTTTTGATGAGCAACTTCACAGGCTGGCGGACGGGGAGTGACTGCAAGCAAGCGGAAGGCCTGACGTGCGATAAGCACGGCATGATCACCGCCATGTACGCCCGGAATCCCCTAATAAGCCCTGCCCCTGTCCTGTACCGTGCCATGCCGTGTGTGCCGTGCCGCTTTTCTCACTAAATGGCAGTGACTATTTTCCGGGGTAGGAAGGAGTGGTGATTGTGTGAGAGGAAACATGAGAAACATGGGTGGGATTCCACAAGAAGGGAACGCCATAATGGCTCTATGCTATGCCTCTTGTGACCCTCCTACCCACCCACCCATCGGAAACTTCCTTGCTCTATGCAGGCGCTTTGCAACGTACCAGACGAATATCACGGTAGATAGCGTCACTCGGCTCTCCCGCTTGATAGAGCTGTAAGGATGGGGCAACGCCGTCGGGCGCTGGCTGACTCACGCTCTGGCCTTCGTACCTGGCTTTTGTACCAGGATCTTTGCAGACTGTGCTCTCTGTGTTGCTCGAGGTGTCAGAATTCAAACCAGGGCTGTCCTCGCCTTCCTAGTTCGGGCCGTGCATGTTGCACCTTCTAGGATGTGCGGATCTGAGTACCAGGCACGATGAGCACCACCACCACAATAATAATTCTTCTCAGTTGTGTTATCTGCAGGAAAGAATCAAACGAGCTGAGTTTCCCTTGTCTTTCCTTGTTCCTGCACGTCTCTGCAATGTGAATCTCTTTCACAAGGCAGGGAGATCAACGATGCTACGTACCCGCCAGAAGGCTCCCTCTACAGCATCACTTGGCTCAAGTCGTTGTGAGTCTGAAACTCCCACGTGGTTACCCATGTGGATCATGTTACCACGACCTGGAAACGCTTCTGCTCCCTTATGCGCAATCATGCTCCGTTATACTCCATGCTGTTCCGTATGCATATTTATGCCGTCCGTCATGCATCCGTCCTTGTGCTCCTATATGCTCCCCTATACTATACTCCTTACCGCTCTGCTCAAAACCGCTCTACTCCTTACCGCTCTACTCCTTACCGCTCTACTCCTTACCGCTCTCCTCCTTACCGCTCTACTCCTTACCGCTCTCCTCCTTACCCCTCTACTCCTTACCGCTCTACTCCTTACCGCTCTACTCCTTATCGCTTTGCCCCTTAATGCCCCGTCCTTTATGCTCTTTTAGGCTCGGAATGCTTTCCTCCTCTGCATCCCTTGTGGATCAGCAGACACACTGTTGTATGTACGGGAAATGACAGGGATATTCTGTACGGGATAAAAGGAGATGCGTGATTGGAGTTTCATGTTATGCTTGTTGATTGAAGCTACGAAGCCTAAAAGTTATCACGGCACGTCGAAAACAAGCAACACAGAAGGGATACGAAGAAGATGAGAATCTCCTGCATGTGGGCGTTTCAGCTGTGTGACTACAGCGCGCTTCTGGAGCCATCATTCCCTTGCCTTCTCGCGCTTCGTGAGGAGTCTATTTTTGAGGCGCCTCAAAAATTAATTCCCTTGCCTTCTCGCACTTCCTTAGAGGAGGTTGTGGATGGCTGTTTAGAGGTGCTGTTGCTCACGTCTAATCCACCTGCTTGACTGCCTTTGATGCCCACTTTAAGGATGTCCTTTGATGATGGTGCAGCTCTTTGGACTGCTCTCGGAACACGGCGTACAGCATACCGGCTGAGATGGGCAACCTCACTCAGCTCACCCGGCTGTGAGCACTTCCTTTCCATGCAGCAGTTGCATGCACATTGCATTGCGCATGCATGAAGGAATAGCACATCACGGCACAGCGCAGCATGTCACTGCACGGCACGGCACAGCACAGCAGGGCTCTGCTCGGTCCGACAGTGTTTCTAAGTGTTTCTCACATTGGCATGTCTCCAAGAGTTTCTCACACGCACGCGCCCCTTTTGTTGCTTTTGCGTTTCGCGATGAGCAGGAGAATCCGAAACTGTCCTCTGGGGGATGAGACTGCGACTCTGAGCCGGCTCACCACCCTTGTGGACCTGTGAGCCCCACACCCATTCCCCACACCCATTCCCAGTACCATCTTCTTGGAACTAGTCTGACCTTGTCGCATGCCCATCCCCATTTCGATCAGCAACGCGTGTCCTCCCTTCGCTCTCTTCTCTCCCTCTTGTGTGACTACTTTGCTTGCACCACCTCCTGTCCAGGGAGCTTCTTTCTAACGGCCATTATACATTGTGGAATCTTGCGCAGACCACTTTTCCCACTCTGATGAAACTGTAAGGCATCGTGTGACATGCATGACAATTTATGGCTATTTATGACAATTTATGACAATTCGTGGCTATTTATTACACTTCATGATAATCCATGGCAATTTATTACATCCCACGAGGGAAATATGATAATACATCACTACACCTCATCACACATCATTACACGTCATCAAACCTCATAAAATCTCATCACACCCCATCACACCTCATGGCACTGTACGCGGCAAGCAGGACAGATCTCCCTCTGCATCGCGACATGCCGGGAACGGCGGCTCGTTACATTCTCTGGGCCCTTAGCCCGCACATTCAAACTTTGCCCAGCCACACCCATTTTCACATGCGTGTGTGCGTGCATCACATCACATGCATCTCACGCCCTGCCTCATGCTCTCCCTCCCACCTGCTGCAGGGATGTGTCCAACCTCGTGAGGTCCAACCTCGCGAGGTCCAACCTCGTGAGGTCCAACCTCGTGAGGTCCAACCTCGGGAGGTCCAGCCTCGCGAGGTCCAACCTCGGGAGGTCCAACCTCGTGAGGTCTAACCTCGTGAGGTCCAACCTCGTGAGGTCCATCCTCGTGAGGTCCAACCTCGTGAGGTCCAACCTCGTGAGGTCCAACCTCGTGAGGTCCAACCTCGTGAGGTCCAACCTCGTGAGGTCCAACCTCGTGAGGTCCAACCTCGTGAGGTCCAACCTCGTGAGGTCCAACTTCGTGAGGTGCAACCTCGTGAGGTCCAACCTCGTGAGGTCCAACTTGGCCACCCTTGACCTTGACAGCATAGTTCACCTCACAGCAGGAAACACAGTAGGTGTGTTTCCAGTCGGCTCAAAACACTCCTGCCTCGTGGTCTCCCACCCACCCACCTGCTGCAGGGATCTGCGGTCCAACCTGCTCACCCTTGACAGCATTGCCTACCTGAAAAACCTGACAGCCCTCACATGGCTGTGAGTACGCATCCTAGCCGCATTCAAATTGCATGGTGGCGCATTCAAATTGCATGGTGGCGCATTCAGCATGCGTGGTGGCGCATTGAGCGTGCATGGAAGGACCACTTCGCTTCATCCTTTCATTTTTCTCCATGCTCACGGTCAAGTGTAGAAGCATACAGCAAGGCATGCAGCAAGCAAGGCATGCAGCAAGGAAGGCATGCAGCTAGTAAGGCATGCAGCTAGCAAGGCATGCAGCTAGTAAGGCATGCAGCTAGCAAGGCATGCAGCTAGCAAGGCATGCAGCTAGCAAGGCATGCAGCTAGCAAGGCATGCAGCTAGTAAGGCATGCAGCTAGCAAGGCATGCAGCTAGCAAGGCATGCAGCTAGCAAGGCATGCAGCTAGCAAGGCATGCAGCTAGCAAGGCATGCAGCTAGCAAGGCATGCAGCTAGCAAGGCATGCAGCTAGCAAGGCATGCAGCTAGCAAGGCATGCAGCTAGCAAGGCATGCAGCTAGCAAGGCATGCAGCTAGCAAGGCATGCAGCTAGCAAGGCATGCAGCTAGCAAGGCATGCAGCTAGCAAGGCATGCAGCTAGCAAGGCATGCAGCTAGCAAGGCATGCAGCTAGCAAGGCATGTAGCTAGCAAGGCATGCAGCTAGCAAGGCATGCAGCTAGCAAGGCATGAGCTAGCAAGGCATGCAGCTAGCAAGGCATGCAGCTGGGTCGGCTTCTGGGAGTCCCGTCCCCTTCATTCAGATTCATCTGTTGCCCGCCATGCCTCTCTCAATACCATTCTATACAATGCATGTCTGCTGCTTCGTGTTATTGTGCCTCCATGCCTGCTGCTGTGTGTGTGCGGATTCTGTGTTCTTGTTCTCATTTGTGTGTGAGTTCTGTGCTCTTCTGCTGCATGCTCGCCTGCTGCTTCTTTGTTGTTATGCGCTGCTGCTGCTGCATGGGATGGCATTTAAAGCTCAGTGACATGTCATCGAATCAGTTGAGGGGCGACCGCCTAGCAGAGGGGAATCTGAGCCTGCCCAACTTGCAATACATGTGCGTCATTCTGGGGAATCCGTGAACTAGTCACTGCATTGCTGCTGCCACCGCCTTGCTGCTGCCACTGCATTGCTGCTGCCACTGCATTGCTGCTGCCACTGCATTGCTGCTGCCACTGCCTTGCGGCTGCCACTGCATTGTTGCTGCCACTGCATTCCTGCTGTCACTACCTTGCTGGTATCACTTCTCCAGAGTTTTTCGATGTGGTGCATTGCTGCGTTGCCGGGAATGTCGTTCGTTCTTCCTCCAATGCAATCGCTGCTGTGCGCCAGCTGTTCGCACTGCATCATTCCTGCTGCACAGGCTGCCCGCACTGCACCAGCTGCTGCTGCTGCTGCTGCTGCTACTCCTGCTCCTTCTCCTGCTCCTGCTCCTGCTGCCATTCTGCGCCATGCATTGCATTGTACGCACCTTGCCCCATTCATTGCACGTGGAGACAGGCACATAGCACTGCGAATCTCCCCTGCACTTGCCCCCTCTTCCCCCTCCCCCCCCCCAAATTTCTCCATGCCTCCCTCCTCTTGGCGCCGTCAGGAATCTTTCTAACAACCAGCTGACCGGCGGCATCCCCGAGTCGTTCACGACCATGACTGCCTTGGTTGGCCTGTGAGTTTCCTTGGACCGACAGTGTCACTGCTGCTTCTGAGGCGCCTCTGGTATCCGCGAGTCGTCGTTCACGATCATGGCTGCCTTGGTTGGCCTGTGAGTCTCCTTGAACCGTTACCGACAGTGTCACCGCTGCTTTCTTTCACAACCTCGCCTTCCGAGCTCCACATTCTCTCATTGCAATCCTTCAGTACAACAAACAACTCTCATTTGATTCAATTGCTTTGCCGCACAGAAACGTGAGCTTCAACTACATGGACGGAACCATCCCGCCATCGCTTGGGAGCCTGAAGAACCTCTCAACCATGTAAGTGCTCCCTCCGGTTAGGACTGAGTGTGCTAGTAATTTCGTTTTGAGACGTTAAAAAAAAAAAAAAAAAAAAAAAAAAAAAAACACTACATGGAAGGAATCATTTCGCCATCGCTTGGGAGCCTGAAGAACTTCTCAACGCTGTAAGTGATCTCTCCCGTGGGTGCTGACGCCACAAGAGGTTACTCCGTGTCTGTCTGCATTGAGGCCAGGCCTTGTGGCCAAAATAATATTATTCAACACAAGGAAATGGATGTCTCCCTTCCTCTCTGTTCCCCCCTGTTCCCTCCTGTTCCCCTCTGTTGCCCCCTGTTGCCCCCTGCTCCCCTCTGTTTCCTTGCACCTTTCCCGTCCGCCCTTCCCTTCAGCTCCACCAACGGCACAAGTCTCACGTGCCCTGCCAGCTACAGCAGCTGTGGCGTGCCTCAGAATGAAACATCTGGCTTCTGCCGCACCTGCAGTGACTTCTGCACCACATGTGAGCTGTGTGTTTGGGGGGAAATGTGCTGTCAGATCAGATGTATGCCTGTAAGCGTTTTAAATTTGAGGCGCTTCAAAACTAGATTCTGCACCACATGTGAGCTGAGTGTTTGGGGGGAATGTGCTGTCAGATGTATGCATGTAAGCATTTTGATGCGCCTCATAATCCGATTTGTGCATGTATGCGCTAACCGGGCGCCGCTAGTGTGTTTCTGTGGTGTTGCTGCCTTCTCGAGGAGTCAAGTGTGCATCAAGTGTGCATGAAGGACTCGGCGTTGTGCTGTGTGTTCTCTTGCCCACAATCCATGTCCAAGTCCGTATGAGAAGTCCTTGAATCCATTTCCTTCCAGGTGGCAGGTCCGTCCCGGCAGCACCGACTGCGAGTGACACGCCCCAGTCAGCGCTGTCTACAGGTGCCATCGTTGCGATTGTGGTTGCTGCTGCCGCTGGTGTCGTGGCCCTTGCCGCTCTCCTCTACTGCTGCTGCTTCACTAGAAAGCAGCAGAAAGGTGCTCCCAGCGCTCACATTTCTTCCCAGCGCTCACATCTCTGCACACCTCACATTTCTGCACACCTCACATCTCTGCACACCTCACATCTCTGCACACCTCACATCTCTGCACACCTCACATTTCTGCACACCTCACATCTCTGCACACCTCACATCTCTGCACACCTCACATTTCTGCACACCTCACATCTCTGCACACCTCACATCTCTGCACACCTCACATCTCTGCACACCTCACATCTCTGCACACCTCACATCTCTGCACACCTCACATCTCCGCACACCTCACATCTCTGCACACCTCACATTTCTGCACACCGCATCAGATTATCATGGGGACCGCTTGAGGCCCACACCCTTCAACTTGGATGGCTGCTCAAGCCAACACCAGCTTTTCCGTCCCCCTCCTCTCACCCCGCCTACTCTCCCACCCATTCCTTTCTCTGCAGCCTTAATGAGCAGCAAGGCGGCCTCCCAGGTGTGTCAGGAGTACCCGCTTCACCTGGTGGTCAAGGCCACCAACGGCTGGTCCGAAGCGAACCTGCTTGGCGCAGGCGCCTTTGGCGACGTGTACCGCGCCGTCTCTCCAGCCGATTGCGCCACGCTGTGGGCCGTGAAGCGAGCCAAGATCATCACCAACGACTTCGACACCGAGGTGCGCACTTGGTGAACAAACATTCACTCACATTCACGTGTCAAAATCTATAGCACAGTCCGCTAAGATCGTCACCAATGACTTTGACACCGTGATAAGCACTTCATAAAACTGGATGTGGGGCTTCTGCAGCTTGCCTCTTGACTCGTTTTTTTAGGCACCTAGAAAACCGAGACGATTTTCGAGGCGCCTCAAGGTAAGATTTGATAAGATTGGATGTGCGGCTTCTGCTGCTTGCCGCTTGACTCGTCTCTAACAACTTTGGCACTGAGGTGCGTGTACGTGCTGTGATGCGGTGTTATATGGTGGGATGAGGTGGGATGTGGGGTGTGTTTTGCGCTGAGCTTATTATACATTCACTGCACGGCGTTGGTTCTGACAGGAGCGTCAGATGGCCATCATATTTGCACCCTCTTATATCGCTCCGTTGTCCCATGGCAGGTGTGTTAGCTAATTATTAGTTTTGTACCTTCTTATATTGCTGCACCCTTGTCCTCCCAGGTGTGCCAGATGGCCACAAAGCACCACCCCAACCTGGTGCGGCTGCTGGGCTTCTCCATTGGGATTACCGACAAGACAAGGGTGGAGCAGATCCTCATCTACGAGCTCATGCCCCATGGGGACCTCTCGCAATGGATCGGGCAAGGTACGCAATAGGAGACCGAAGGTGGTAATGCGTGAGGGTACGCGTGGAAGTCAAAATCCTCATTTAAGACTCACGCCCCACAGGGAACTGGAGCAATTGGGTCAGGAAAGGTACGTGTAGCAGTGTGGTCGGGAAAGGTCATTTAAGACTCTACTGGTGATACAGTGTGGTCGGGAAGGGATCGGTGAACTCGTGCCACTCCAAGACGAAGCGAGCAAAACTATTTTGTGCGCGTGTACATGATTGCATGCACGTCTCGCACTATTTTGTATTGGCGAAGGCACTGGAGACGTCCGTGGAGTGGACTATGTCCCGCTGGTTTCAAGATCAAAGAAAGACGGCATGGATGGAAAAAGCTTTGATGCATACACCACGCTGCTGGTACGAAAAAAGCAATGCCTTCCGTTGGTACAGTATCGGGCATTGTAGACTGAGTCCTTCTTCGACAGCTGATTCACCGAGCTACCCACTTGCCCTTAACTGTGTTGGTGGAGGGAGGGGGAAGGATTTCGATGAAGGGTTGTTGCGATTGAATGTTTCACTGATGGACCAGAACCAATTGCGGTTGCCAGGGTTGGAAACAACCTCGTATGTCGTGGGCTCTAAGATTGTAGAAGCATCCAAGAAGGCAAGAACTGCTGCACTGGTGTCGGGGATGAAACAGACATCCTTGGAAGGCTGGCAAGTGTCCTGCTCAGTGGTGCTCCTGTCGATGCAATATGAGCAAGCATTGCTTTTCGCATAACCATGACACTTTCGCCTCATTTTGACGCTTGTCCGCATATCATCTGGTGTGTCCCATCTCACTTACTCTCCAGGCGCTGCTGTGCCGCTGAGCTTCCAGCAGCGGGTGGACATCCTCATGGGGGCGGCACGCGGCTTTGAGTACCTCCACAGCTTTGGCATCGTGCATCGCGACATCAAGCCAGCCAACATCCTGCTCGACCATAACATGCAGGTGAGTGAACCTTCGTTGCCAGTGCGCCTTCCCGCTCTCTTGCGTGATGAAAACATCTAGGCAAGTGGAACATCCTGCTCCACAAGAGCATGCAGTTGTGTGGGCTTCTCGTTGTGCGCTTAGCTTTCCACTTTCTTATGCCGCCAGCTCCCCTATGCACGCATCTGCCTGTTGCACCTGAGAACGACCCAGAGGACCGCACTCAGTATAACATCGTAATCGACTCACTATCTACCCATTCCTGCTCTCATTTTGCGCCGCGTGTAAATGCAGGCTAAGATCTCCGACTTTGGGCTCGTGAGGAAGGGAGAGGGCACCACAGTGCAGAGTACTCGGGTGGTGGGAACACCGGGCTATGTGGACCCCTCTTATGTTGCCTCAAAGAAAGCCATCTCCGCCACAGATGTCTACAGGTGAGCAACAGCCTGCTTTTGAGTCGACTCAAAATCAAAGAAGGCCACCTCCGCCACAGATGTCTATTTTTGAGGCGCCTAAAAAATAGACGCCACAGATGTCTACAGGTGAGCAACAGCCTGGCGTACCATCCAGCAGAGCTCTACACATCTAGAACATGGTACCTTCTTGGATGGAATGTCTCCCCTTACTTCTCTTTCTTTCTGTCGCCCTTCTATTCCACCACTGGCCGTTAATGTGCAGCTTTGGCATTCTTATTCTTGAGCTTATGACGGGGCGTCAGGTTGTTGAGACTCCTCTGGCTGGCATGTGTGATGAAGAAACCCCTCAGCCAATCAATATTCTCCCATGGGTATGTACGCAGGCCATGCGATGAATATGTATGCAGGCCATGCCATGGGTATGTACGCAGGCCATGCCATGGGTATGTACACGTTATAGCTGTTTTCCTGTCAAATTCAAGCCTTGATGCACTGTCCACCGCCCAACAACCCTTGTGCCTGCAAGGGCGTCCGGTTGGACAATCCTTGTTCATCTTGTGCACTTTTGTGTGGGTGCATGTGTGCATGTGTGCCATCCGAGTGTATGCGGCGATCTCTTTGAAATTACCGCATTCGTCCAGGTTCAGCAACAGCTCTCCCACCAATCCGGCGATACCGGCCTGCCCCTGGGCCTCAAGGATCCGTGCATGGAGGCACGGGATGACCTCGTGCTGGCAGTGCTGCAGCTGGCGCTGCGGTGCACCGCCAAGCACAGCGCCTCGCGGCCGGCGATGGGGGCGATAGCAGCGGAGCTGGAGGTGGTGATGGTTGAGCTGGGCGGGTCCAGGAGCAATGCCGCCGCCCTCCAGGTGGACCGCCAGGTGCAGGCGGGGAGTGCCCGAGTGACGGATATGAATGATGACATTGCCCAGCTGAATGCTTTGTTTGCAGGCAGTCACAAGTATACAGCCCTTTCGTAACATTATGATGGTGTTTGGGCGTTGGTTGGTTGGGGGATGTCTTTGTTTGAAGGGATGCAGCAGCACCACTTTCTCTGAGAATGATGCCAGTTGAAGGGAGATTTGCTGTGCAATCTATTGCTTCATGATAACTTTTAATGGCGAATGCCTACATAGAAAGATCAAGTTCAAATACGTGCATGACCAAAATAAACCGCACTGAAACGCAATTCCGATACTGGCACTGCACAGTACCATACGTTTCTGATCCAACTTGATTCTGATCCTGGTTCGTAGAAATTCGCACTAATAGCGCTGCATTATGATTGATACTCCATCCTTGGTCACACAAGCACGGCTCAAATGAGCGAATCAAGATGGGCCAGCTCATGATACGCCAGCAGCAACAAATGGTGCGACAACCGCACCGCTTCCCTCCTTTCACACATGCTCGGGCTCTCCTCTGGCGACTCTTCCATCGTACCGACCCTGCCACACTCCTCCATCTCCCCCAGCCCCCACTCACGCCAACCACCTCCTTCTATGCCCATGTCCATGCCCATACCCACGCCCAGCCAAGAAGACTCCCACGCAGGCTCTGGACATGCTTGCTGCTGCCCTGTGCCCTTGCACGGAGGCGGCTGCTGCTGCAGGTGCATGTTGGTGGGGGTGGGGTTGGCGACACGGGGGGAAATGGGGCCTACAGCCGCGTCACGATGCGCCGTACAGGAAGGGAGGAGCATGAACGGGGGTTGGCACGCGAGGCCAAAGGCGAGGTCATGCAGGATGCGGAGCAGGGAGTTGACTTGCTGACGCAGGAGGAGGGTCGGGGGAGAGAGTGGGGGAGAGCGAGGGGTGAAGGGAGGGGGAGAGAGAGGGGAGGAACCGGTCGAGGTGGGTCGTGGGTGGGATGGAGGTGGGGGGCGAGGCTGGGAGGAGGAAGGGTCCAAGGGTTGGTAAGAGGTCGGTTGCGACTTGTGCGCGGTTGAGAGATCCATTGCCTTCCCTGCTGCTCTGCCTGATGATGGGCACAGCACCTCGTTGTTGTCCGCATTACACCTTCCAGTGACAGGCTGGAAAGCCTGCTGCACCAGTCTGGAGTGGAGGAAGGAAAGGGGCAGGCTTCTCTCACTCCCTTCGCTCCTTACACCGCCAGTCTCCATGTCACAAGCGCTTTCCTCCATGCCGCCTCCCCCCACCCGATTCCCATCCATGTACCACTTTTGAGCCGGCTCAAAAGCTCCCCCCATCCCATCCACGAACCGCACCTTCTTGCGCTGCTGAAATCCCAATGCTCCCATGGCTCCCACGGCTCGTCCACAACCCCCCACACCCAGGCCCATGCCACTGCTACCACCACCGCCGCCCAGATAGCCGACACCGTGGGGCCCACCTGCCGGCGAAGGAGTGCGGGGGGTGCAGCCTGAACGTGCTGCACGTGGGCCACCGCCAAACGCAGGCCCATACCTGGCAGTGCTGCTGCCTCCAGTATTTCTCTCCGACTGTCCCCCATAAGCACTGGGAACAGTTGCAGCAGCAACAGTAGCAGTAGCAGTGGCAGTGACAGTAGCAGCTGCTGATGCTGAAGCCAAGGCGGCAGTCCCTAGGTCCTCCTGTAGCTGCCGTGCCACGTCACTCATCTCCAGCCTCCTCAGTGCGTCGACGCGCGGTGCTCTCTGCCGCACCAGCAGGCGTTCGATGCCACTCTCCACCTGCTTCGCTAAGCCACTAACGCTGCTGCTGCTGCACCCACTGGCGCTGCCACCCCCCCCATTGCTACCGTGGCGTTTGTGAGAATTCTCAAAAAGATGCTGACCGTTAGCACCACCATCCTCCTCTACTTCCTTTCTTCCTCTCCTCCCCATACAGACCTCTCTCTCGCCCCAGTTTGCACTTCCCAACACTTCAAGGGACAACCGCAGCATATTCAAGTGAAGGGGCCTAAACCCCGCTGCCCCGCCTCCTCCTCCACTTCCATCCCCTCTGCTGCCCCCCTCCCCCCGAATCAAACCCCCCTGCGTCAAGTGCAGACCGACCGAACCTGGCAGGGAGGTTCTAGCCACGCGCATGGCAGCATAGGCTCGGCCGGAGGGTCGGAAGGGGCAGGAGGGGGAGCAGGCAGGGAGGGTGGGGGAGGAGAGGAGGGAAGAGGAGGAGGAGAGTTCTTGAGCAAGAGTAGAGGCGCATTGCTGGTGCAGCAGGGCTGCTCGGGTGTGGATGAGACGCAGCCGTGGGGAGGAGTCCGGGTCCATGGCGTGAATGGTGGTTGTGGTGGTGGTGGTGGTTGTGACACCACCAACAGCACCAGCAGCACCAGCAGCACCAGCAGCACCAGCACCAGCAGCACCAGCACCAGCACCAGCACCAGCACCAGCAGCACCAGCAGCACCAGCAGCACCACCACCAGCAGCACTACCAGCAGCACCACCAGCAGCACCACCAGCAGCACCACCAGCAGCACCACCAGCAGCACCACCATCACCACCAGCAGCGGCCACGGTCCCAGTACCCACAGCAGCAGTTCCTCTTGCCTGCACTGCACCAACAGCCCAATCCACAACAGCAGCAGCAGCAGCAGCAGCAGCTTCTCCAATGCTCCTCGCCTCTCTCCCCGCCACCTGCCCACCTTTGCCTGCGTTGCCCTTCTCCTTTTCCTCCTTTTTCCTGCCTCCGGCACCTCCCATCGCACCAGCATGGCCTCTCGCACCGTGCTCCTTCCCGCCCTTCACTGCGCCATGCGTCCCTCCACCTGCCCCTCCTGCTGCTCCTCCCTCTCCTCTCCCTGATGGTGCTGCCACAGCGCCTGCTGCTCCTTCTTCCGCTTGCGCTGTTGCTGCTGCTTCTGCTTGTGCTTCTCCTGCTTCTCCTGCTGCTCCTGCTTCTCCTGCTGAACGCGTACAGCTGGGTGTGGGGGACCGGCGAGCCGGCATGGGTGTTTTGACGCTCGTTTCCTGGAAAATGTTGTGGGGCAATCAGGGCAAGCGACAGCACAAAGAGTCGAGAAGAGCGGAGATGGAGGAAGGCTGGAAGGAGAGAGAGTATACGCACTAGGCTCAATAAAGTAGGTTAGAATGGTCGAAGGGACCAGGCGGAGGAAAAGGGGGGGAGAGGGATGGTAAACGAGGTGAGGATGCTGCTGACATACGCACACACACACACACAGCTATCTCGTGTGTCTGCTTGCCTCACCTGTGGTCCGAAGCACACTCTCTTGCGTGCCCGCTCACATGTCCTCAGCTGCCTGCCTGCACCCATAGCAGCATGCCTCAAACCAGCAGCACCACCACCATCACCATCACCATCACCATCACCACCATCGCCAGCAGCAGAAGCACCAGCAGCAGCAGAGCCTCTATCAACTCCTCTCGCCACAGTTGGTGTCGCAGCTTCAGCTGCCCTGTGCTGCACCGGTGTATGCTTCCCCTTTTTCTGTAGCCGCAAAACTCCTGCTCCCCGTCCCCCTTCCCCTTCGCTCCCTTCTCCCCCCTCCCCCCCTGCGCCACTCCCCTCATGCCCATCCAATGCAACCCCCCCTCTCGTTCCAAAACAATTTACTCCCCCCCTTGATCCTCCTCTTCTCTCACCTGCTAACTCCCCCCCGTCCGTCTCCACTGCAAGATCCCTCTCCCTCTCCCCACCGTCCTCCCTTGCTCTCGTCCCACCACCGTGCTCTCGCCCGTGCCACTTCCCCTGGCTGCCCTTCCACCTCTGCCCACCGCTGCTCCGTGCTTTAGTCCCTGCCACCGCTGCTTCCGCTTCTCCGTCTAGGCAGCCGCTGTGGCGTGTGCCATGGCCAGGTGTGCCAAGATGGGCGCGTGTGTGCTGCATGCCCTCACGAAGCTGGGAAGGGAAAGAGTGGGTAGGTGGTGGGTGGTGTGGTGGTGTTGTGGTGGTGTGGTGGTGGTGATGCCACAGCAACGCAGGTTAGTCCTCCTACTGCCCCAAGGGCACGAGTGGGCCCCGCACAAGAAGCCTTAAAATGACACAGCCAACAAGCCGGCACGTTGACATGAGCCAAACAGAGCCTTGCTACACTCAGGGCTGCACAATAAACAAGGGAGTCGGGGCTGCCTGAGCGGCAACGCAGGCAAAGCAGGCAACGCAGGCAAGCACAGGACGCGATCCCAGTGATCGTCGTCACGCGATGAGATGAAGAGTGCGCGAGAGGGAGGTGCCTGAAAGACGTCTGCACGGCGGCAGGAGGCGGACCTTTGCAGAGAGAGCGCGGTAGGAGGCGACGAGGAGGAGCAGATGGGAGCGACGGCTCCAGTTGGTGGCGTGCACACGGGCGAGCTGAGGGTGAGGGTAATGGGTTGCAGGTGGGGAGAGGACCGGTACGGGAAAGGTAGAAGACACGGGGAACAAGGGGGAGGAGGAGAAAGGGAGAAAAATAAGAAAGGGAGGGAAATAAGAAAGGGAGGGAAATAAGAATGTGAAGTAGATTTTTGTATACAGCTTGACAATACATCTCAAGAAAATGAACAAATTAACAGCTTGACAGTACAGCAAGAGGGTCGGTGCATGTCTGATAATGATGAATCGTTTCAAAGAGAGAAGCAGACAAACCTGCACACAGTTGCTGTGCATGTGTGTGATTTTTTTTTATTTTTTTTTTTGAAGGGGGTGAAAGTACAATAACAATGCAAAAACACCACCCACGGTCGTAACCGACCGAGTGCATCTGTGTGATAGTCAACTGCTGATTCACAGCAGCACACAGTGGCACACAGCCCCAACCCAACCAGCACCACACAAGACCACTCAGAACTTCAGCACCACATCAGCCCAGCAGCCCAGCAGCCCAGCAGCCCAGCAGCCCAGCAGCCCAGCAGCCCAGCAGCCCAGCAGCCCAGCAGCTCAGCAGCCCAGCAGCCTAGCACATCCGCAGCATATCCGCAGCATGCTGCAACACACAGCAGTACCACGGTAAGGGGAAGCTCTTGAGCAGGCCAGACCCCAAGGAGATCACGCCAGCTGTCCCACGGCGATTGGTAGTCTCCCACACACGTGTTGGCGCTGCTCGACGCTCCCGCCGACCGCACATATGCACGTGCTGCTGCCACAGCAGCAGCAGCACTAGGAGCACCGCCATTCACATTGTAGGCATCAGTCTCAATCTCAGCAGCAGTTGCAGCAGCAGAAGCAGCAGATGGGTGTTGGGGATGCCAGAAGGGGTGCAGCAGAGCAACGCCACAGCGACCACAGCTCATGGCCTCGGTCACCATGCCTAGCTCTGATGCACCCTCCCCTCCCTCCCCCCCTCCCCCCCTCCCCCCCTCCCCTCCCTCTCCTCCCTCTCCTCCCTCCCCCCTCCCCCCCCTCCCCCCCCTCCCCCGCCTCCCCCCCTCCCCCCCTCCCCTCCCTCGCCCTCGTGCTCCTTATGATTGTCCCCACCGCAACTCCTGCCGCCCTCCCCCATATCCTTGTCCCCTGCATCCCCACCACCGCCGTCCCCCTCCTTCTCACTTGGCCCTACGCGGCTCCCCTCCACTAGCGCGCCTGCTCCTCCCCCTCCTGTGTCCTGTGCAGCGCGCGCGTCTACCGACTGTGATCCCACGCCACGTGCTTCCCTCGCACGTGCGTCTACCGAATGTGTTCCAGTCGCGAGTGCTGAAAGCGCTTCTTCAGACCCCCCCGCGCCGCACTGCTGGTGGCTGCTGTGCGCCAGCGCGTACGGGGCAATGACGGGCGACAGCGGCAGCGGAAGGGGTGGACATGCCCCCTCAGCAGGCGGGGAAACCCCGTCTCCGCTCGCCACAGCTCCCACCCTCACGGGCGCCGCCGCCGCCGCTGCGTCTGCTACGCCTGGCGCTCCCTCCCTTCCGCCTGCACCAGCACTGCTTCCGCCATCCCCCCGCTTTCCGCCAGGATCCCTCCCCGCCGCCACGCTTCCGCAAGCTTCCCCCTTCCCCCCCTTGCCTCCGCAGTCCCCATTGGGCCGACTACGGCAGACGCCCTGGCGGTGCGGGGTTGCGCGGGAGGCAGCGGGGGAGGCGGAAGGTAGAGGCGGGGGGATAAGGAGCGCGGCGCAGCAGAGGCAGGGGACGAGGATGGCGGCGCATTGTACGCAAAAAAGCCTGCAGGCGGCGGAAACGGCGGAAGAATAGCGTGCTACAGGGGCGGGCTGCGCGGAATGGCGCAAACCTTCCCCAAGCGCGCCCGCGAAGGGCGAACCAGGCTCAGTATTTCTCAAAGACGACGGCGGAAAATCCGCGATATAAGTACTGTGTTCGAAGCGCAAGGGTGAGTCGTGTCGCCCATCGGACGAGTCATGGTGGGCCGTCGGATCTCTACGCCAAATCGGCGGCGGGGGCGGAAGGGAGGTAATGTCGGCTTGCGCGTGCGGGCAGCATCGCGCAAGAGGCGGGTCGCGGTAGGGGGACGGGGAGGAGGAGGGCGGCGCAACGGCTGTGCGGTCAGCCATAAACATGGGTGGGTGGGGTTTGAGGCACAGGGAGAGGGGAGAGGCGTCACGAACACGTCACGAGCACGCTTGGGCCAGAATGGTGCGTGGTTAGGGAAAAGTGGGGCTGAGCCATCCTCGTAATCCAGGTACAAGAGATCGCGAGGATTGCTACACTTCTCAAGGAGAAGCCAATATTGTGCAAATATTTGCTGATATTCCACCCAATATCCCCTATGTTCGTTTCGTGTCGTTTCGTGTTCCCTGATCCCCTTTCCTTTGTTCCCTTCGTCTTTCTTTCCGTTTAGTGCAATCCAAATTCATATAGTCAGCCAACACGATACAGGCACGCAACGAGGTCTAGTCTAGATGATCCATAGCTGGCACACAATGCAAGTTCAAGCCTCGTACCGGTACGGTACAACAGTGGAGCTGCTTAGGTTGCCTTGGAACATGTCAGTGAGCCTAGCAAGATCTGCATCCAAATTTGCCGGCACACTCCTTGCCTCCACCTGGCGGTCCACCTGGAGGGCGGCGGCGTTGCTCCTGGACCCGCCCAGCTCAACCATCACCGCCTCCAGCTCCGCTGCTATCGCCCCCATCGCCGGCCGCGAGGCGCTGTGCTTGGCGGTGCACCGCAGCGCCAGCTGCAGCACCTTCAACAAGAGGTCGTCCTGTGCTGCCATCCGCGGGTCCTTGAGGCTTGCCACTGGGGCGGCAAAGAACTGCTGCGTGACCTGGACGAATGAAATGATGGAAATAGAAAAGAATGGAAATAGAAAGAATGGAAATAGAAAAGAATGGAAATAGAAAAGAATGGAAATCATGGTAAGCTGTGGGGTAAGGAAGTCTGAGACATAAGGGTGGGAAAAAGCCCACGTACGTACCCAGGGTACGATGTGCATTTGCTGGCCAGCCTCCTCATCGGAAGGTGTAGGCAGAGAGTTCTTAGCAACGTGGCGCCCCGTCATCAGCTCAAGCATGAGAACGCCGAAGCTGCACACCAGGAGCAGAGAACATGCCAGTGGTGGGGTTGCGGGTTTAGGGGTAAGACAAAGGGGAAGCGAAGAAACAATGTTTAGTTTCCAACAGCAGAAATGCCTTTGGAAGAAATGAGCTGGAAAAACAAACAAAAGGCCCTTGATCACCTGTAGACATCTGCAGCAGTGGTGGCTTTATTAGATGCACTATAAGAGGGGTCCACATAGCCCGGAGTTCCCACCACTCGAGTACTCTGCACTGTGGTGCCCTCTCCCTTCCTCACGAGCCCAAAGTCTGAAATCTTAGCCTGCACTCACACACGAAGCAGAGCGAGAGTAGGAATGGGTAGATGGTGATTATGTAGAATGTTTTGCTGGGTACACTTCTCTGTAATTGTTCTCATATGCGTAGGTGCAACAGGCACATGCGTGCATACATGTTGATTGGGAAGCAGGTGGCACATGAGAGTGGGAAGCTGGTATAGCAATGAAGCACAACTGCGTGCAGTCTCCCACCCAGGAGCAGGCACTTTTGGGCCTGCTCGTTAGCACAAGAGCACGTGGAGCAAGAACCATCAGCATGTGACCGATGAAGGCCCAATCGTCCGCATCTACCCATTGCCCAAGAGCACGGGAAGCTGCACTGGCAACGAAGGCCCACTTGCCTGCATGTTCTGGTCGAGCAGGATGTTGGCGGGCTTGATGTCGCGATGCACGATGCCAAAGCTGTGGAGGTACTCAAAGCCACGTGCCGCCCCCATGAGGATGTCCACCCGCTGCTGGAAGCTCAGCGGCACCGCAGCGCCTGGAGGGCAGATGGGCGGGGGATGGAGGGGTGGATGGCGCGAGACCATGAAATCGAGCAGGAGAGGTGGAAGTGTCTGGAGAAGCGGTTAATGTTAGGCCGTAAAATGATTTTATATGGAGATTATTGATGACTTATGCGAGTCAGTTAAACAACAAAAGCTGGGGCAGACAAGTGGTAACTTGAGGCGAAAACCTCAAGGACACGAAGAAACAAGCGTAAAGGAGTGTTTGCTCTTCATTGTCATGACCACTATTGTGCGCCAAACTTCTGAGAGGAACGTGTACAGGTTCCTTTTCATGGCTATTCACTGGCCGGACCTTGTGCTCTCGAATATGTTTGGGTGCGTTCGTGGAAAGCAACCTTTGATGAGACATCGATATGACGGGAAGGCATGACGGGACGGCATGACGGGACGGCATGACGGGACGGCATGACGGGACGGCAGCACACGCACCAAGTTGTCATCGACCCGCTGCGCATGTGCTGAAGGGACGGCTCTAGTGAGTTGACTAAGGCTATACTTGGTTTTTTCTCTACAAACATGGACCCTTGGACAGGGGTTGCTTATACCAAACACCCTAAGACCCTCAATGGTGAGGGCAAAGAGAAAACTTGCTAGACTTAAGTCTGTGTTCCAAGAACTTTATCAGGTTCCTATTTCTACTAGCTGGGAGGTAAGTGCAACCGTTTTGCCCTTCGCGAATCACATATTGTTCGTTTGCACCTCTACCTTTGTAACAGCATTCGGGCACACTCTATGGGCCAGCTCGAACCTTCGGTATGAGACTCAATCATGCAAAATGTGCCTCGCGAAACGAGCCTCAGCCAATTTGTGCTAAATGTAGCACGCCCTAATGAAACTTGAATATATAAACATGTATCACACACATAATTTCGTTATGGTATAGGTCCACCAATCCTTAGGTTGTATTGTGTTGTGTTTTTTTTTTTTTCAATCACAATGCACTGCCAATTGCGTACCTTTCCCAATCCATTGCTGCAGGTCCCCATGGGGCATGAGCTCGTAGATGAGGATCTGCTCCACCCTTGTCTTGTCGGTAATCCCAATGGAGAAGCCCAGCAGCCGCACCAGGTTGGGGTGGTGCTTCGTGGCCATCTGGCACACCTGCCACGGGACAACGGTGGAGCAAGTGTAACAAAATCTGTCATAATGCCATGCTGTGCCATGTCATAATGCCATGCTGTGCCATGCCATAATGCCATGCTGTGCCATGCCATAATGCCATGCGGTGCCATGCCATAATGCCATGCCACGACACAATGGGTTGGTAACTCTGAATGAGCCACGACAAGATTTGACCCTATGTTAGGGCTGTCATGTCACGATGCACTTGCTGCCTCGTGAGTCAAACGGTAACGTCCATAAGCACGACATCACAGCGTGCACATACTTACCTCGGTGTCAAAGTCGTTAGTGATGATCTTGGCGTTGCCATGAGGTGCATTGAAATAAGGTGCACTGGCACCCCTCCTGACCACACCCGTTCCTACCTCGGTGTCGAAGTCGTTGGTGATGATCTTGGCTCGCTTCACGGCCCACAGCGTGGCGCCATCAGCCGGAGAGACGGCGCGGTACACGTCGCCAAAGGCGCCCGCGCCAAGCAGGTTCGCTTCTGACCAGTTGTTGGTGGCCCGTACCACCTGCTGCAGCGAATACTCTCGACACACCTGAGAGGCCGCCTTGCTGCTCACCAAGGCTGCAAGAGAAGCGAGTGCGAGAGAAATGGATGCATAGGATGTGGTGTGATTTGATTTGATTTAGAGTTAAGGATAGATTTTTGGGGTGAGCGAGAGCACCCATCCAAAGTTGAAAGGCGTGGGCATCCAACTGTCGTCTCATCCATGCAAGGCCACAACAGTGCACAGTAAGGTATGGTGGAGCGCAATAATGGCGAGAAGTAGTACTTCTCAGTGGTGGTGGTGCGGTGTAAGCGTACTTTTATTAAAGCAGAAGTAGTAGACGATGATGGCAAGGGCCACGACAACAGCGACTGCAGCAACCACGATCACAACAATGGCCCACATGGGAAATCCTGACTTGGACTTGTCGTCTGCAGGTGGTGCTTCGGTTGTGGGCTTGGGTTTGTCGCCTGCAGCCAGGGAGAGAGGCTTGAATGCTTTATTGCGGCAAGGGGAGATGTCAGGTAGCCAAGTTCACCATTAAGGGACCACTCGGGATGTTTTGGCCTCGTGACTGGATAGTGAAAAACCGTGCATTGTAGCAAGTTATAGAGTGCTGTGCCATCTCCTTCTGAGGCGCCTTGTGAGGCGTGTGTCAAAGGCACCGCAAAAGAGTCCAATTTGGGGCAACAAGAGCATGACAACAAGCAGCTTCTAGGCACACTTAATTTCAAAAGATATGAGCTCACATGTGGTGCAGAAGTCACTGCAGGTTTGGCAGAAGCCAGAAGACTCATTCTGAGGCACGCCACAGCTGCTGTAGCTGTCAGGGCACGTGAGACTCGTGCCCTTGGTGGAACTGAAGGGGCAAGCAAAGGAGGATAAGAAGGGGATTCTTGCTGGGTCCTAAAGAAGTGAGTCTCGCCCCAGTGCCCCACCTGCACTCGCTTGTGTGCACTCCTCAGCTGGGTCCTCCCCCTCAGAACCTTGCACGTGGAGGGGGAGGGTGGGTGGGTACATGCTCAACAAACCATCGTGGCATAGAGAGGTGCTGACCAATCATCTCCTGCTCTTCAAGTTGCACTCACTTCCAAATGCCTTTGCCAATTTCCTACAGTTTTGTTCTGCGCATGGCTATGCTAGATCCTACAATTTTAGCTGTGCACAGCCATTCGCCAGCTCCTACAAAGTTTAGCCTCAACTGTCGAGTCTAGAGTAACCTTCGTTATTTCTTTTGTTTTTGTCCTTAGAAGGTTCATCATTAGCTAGCTTTTGATATTAACACCTAGCAAGCAGGCCTTGATTTTTCGTCACAGAAATCAATAAAAACCCCTCCCTAAACAACATTGTGAGATTATGAATCTGGTGATAAGAGGACTTACAGAGCTGAGAGGTTGGTCAATCTTCCAAAATCTGGTGAGATAGTTCCATCCATATAGTTGAAATCAACGCTTCTGCGCCACATACACAACAATATTGATGGTTAAATCTGCTGTATGCAGCCAAATGAGCATAGCAAACGAGTGAGAGAAGTTGCGGGGGAGATTCGGAGAGAACGGACGCGAGGAGTGTGGCCTGCCTAGGAGGTATGCAAACACGGAACAACGTGTGGTGTGTGGCACCACGTGCTAGTGACACATACAATGCAAAAGTTGCATGCAACTGTTGTGATGGGCATTGATTGAACAGATATAACCACCTCCCATAACAACAGTTGCTTGCAAGTGCCGCAGTGGTAGTGCTGCAGATAGCCAGAGGGAAACCACGATGCAATGCATTTGCACGACAAGTGTCCACATATGCGATGTGAAACCAGACTGCTAGCTATGGGAGTCCCATCCCATAGCTAGCATCGCTGCTAGAGAAAATACAGCACACCCCATGAAATAGATGATTTTTGAGTCGACTCAAAAATCGACTCATTACACATACCCCATGAAATAGATGATTTTTTAGTCGACTCAAAAATCGACTCATTACACACCCCATGAAATAGATGATTTTTGAGTCGACTCAAAAATCGACTCATTACACACACCCCATGAAATAGATGATTTTTGAGTTGACTCAAAAATTGACTCATTACACACACCCCATGAAATAGATGCGTGAGGAGTCTATTTTTGAGGCACCTCAAAAGTAGACTCCTCAGGCATAGACTGCTAGCTATGGGAGTCCTAGCACCGCTGCTACGCAGCACACCTCGTGAAAGAGAACTCACAGGCTGACCAGGTTAGTCATGTTTGTGAGGGACTCGGGAAGGCTGCCGGTCAGCTGGTTGTTGGACAGACTCCTGCAGCGCGCGCACAAGCATGCCATGGCACGGCATGGGAAGGAGGCACGCATCGGTTTTTTTCAAGCACATCAAAAAAACCGTACAGACCGAATGGCACCATTGGAACGCAGCATGAGCCGCACGCACAGCGAAGGGTGAGTGACCGCAGTGTTCCTAGAGGGAGGGACGTACAGGAATTGCAAGGTGGGCAGGCTTATGTTCTGCACCACTAGATCGCCCTTGAACAAGTTGGATGAGAGATCCCTGGCCCATGCCATACACACAAGCAACGATGCCATACCCACAAGCAAACAATACCATACACACAAGCAGCAGGCATGGAGGCACACAAAAGGCAGCAGAAGGTAAAAACGGTTAACGAGAAGGCAGCCAGGCAGGTGAGCATGGAAATGCAAGCATGGGATGAACGAACAGGAATGCCTGGAGGCACGGCAAGCTGAGGAGTATATTTTTGAGGCGCATAACGGAAACAAAGCAATGGCAATTGGTAGCAAAATAGACTCCTCACGCATGCAAAATGGGATGAACGAATTGAATTGGGATGCGGGTGGAAGCATGGCAAGCTGCACTCTTGACACCATGGCCAAGTGCGTCACAGAGCATTTTAACGACAAGAAGACAGCCTGATCATGCTTGCTTGCTGGATGCGCCAAACCGAGGGATGCAGACTGACTGACAGGGTTGTGAGGCTGGTGAGAGTCTTCAGATACAGAAGGTTGTCTGTCGTGAGCAGGTTGGAGCTCAGATTCCTGCCATGCAGCGATGCCGTGCAGCGCAGCAGCAGTTCAGTGGGGAGGGCACAAGGACGACAACAAACGGAGATGACAATGACGATGATTGTGCTGGTGGTGGTGCTGGTGGTGGTGCTGGTGCTGGAGATGGCGATAATGGTAATGGTGGATGCACGTAGGAGTGTGTTGTTAGTGATGGTGATCATGGCTGCAAGACACGGAATGAGTGATAAAATTGAAACGCCGCTGGCAATGCGTGAGTGTGAGAATGCTGAAAATGACTCTTTGAACGCATGCGTCTAGCCATACAATGCAGAAGGTCCTATGCCCTAGATGGTGCCGCATACAAGGACACAAGGCGACACAAGGCGACACAAGGCGACACAAGGTGACACAAGGCGACACAAGGCGACACAAGACGGCACAAGGCGACACAAGGCGACACAAGGCGACACAAGACGGCACAAGGCGACACAAGGTGACACACAGCTCAATGGCGTACAGTTTCACCAGTCTGGGAAAGTTGGTGCTGGTAATCTCCCCCATATATGATATCTTATTCGATGGCACCTCTCTGGACAGGAGGAGTTGGAGGGTACGGGGCGATATAGGGATGGTGGAAAAGATGACAAGAGGAAGCAGCAACGTGTGGAACCAGCAAATTGTGGAAGCAGCAAAGTGTGGAACCAGCAACGTGTGGAACCAGCAACGTGTGGAACCAGCAAAGTGAGGAACCAGCAACGTGAGGAACCAGCAACGTGAGGAACCAGCAACGTGAGGAACCAGCAAAGTGTGGAAACAGCAACGTGTGGAAACAGCAACGTGTGGAAACAGCAACGTGTGGAACCAGCAACGTGTGGAACCAGCAACGTGAGGAACCAGCAAAGTGTGGAAGCAGCAAAAGCGGAGCGGTGAAGGGGAGCACGAAGAGAGTACCATTGATGCAGGTGCATGCAGGGGGATATGGGGATTAGTGCTACATGAGGTTAGAGGCTTAGGGTTTAGGGGTAACAGGTGTGAGGAATGGGGTGTGAGGAATGGGGTGTGAGGAATGGGGTGTGAGGAACGGATGTGGGGCTCACAGTTCGACAAGGCTGGTGAGCCGGCTCAGCTTGTGAAGCTGATTCTCAAAACCACAACTGCTGATTCTCCTGCAAGTCATGGAACACACATGTGGAAGGGGCGTTTCACACAGTGGAACAGGCTAGGATGCAATGCCATGGCTTAACCCCTTCCTCCATGCCATGCCATGCCATGCCATGCCATGCCATGCCATGCAAAACTGTGCCATGCGATGCTGTGCCATGC